TATCTGGGAGAGAACATATTGTCTGGGAGAAAACTCAGCTCATTGCCATTGAGTCAGAACGTACTCATAAGTGACCCACCTACTGGAATTCGGAAGGCCGATATCACACGGACAGAGAGCATCCAGCTTTCTTTTGTGGAGCCACTGGTGGATTCAAACTGCCAGAAAAGAACTGCTTTGGGGTCTGCAGTGCAACTCCCTACAAACTGCATCACCAGAACTCCCTTTGTGGGGAAGGAGGTGGTGTAATTCAACCCCTAATAGTAGATTCTTACACGATTACACAATTGTATGGAATACTTTTCTGTGTTCCAGGTAAAGAGTTAAACATTGGGGAAGGGGGGGAGCAGGTGATGGAAGAGATTCTCTCCTTCCCCTCAAGACACCCACAGTGCAATACTCTCATAACCTAGCTATTTAAGAGATCCAGTTAAAAACACTAAATTTGTACTTCAGAGTTCCTAAATCAAAATCTCTTAAGAGTGGAGCTGGTGGAACATTTTAAGTTTTTAAAATGTTCGGTGCCATTGATTTGGTTCTCTCATGGTAACCCCGTGTGGAAGAAGAAAACCCTGCCCATCCCTACAATCTCTACTGTGCTTAAACCTATCTTTCCAGTATTGTGTCAATCCATCTCATTCAGGGTCTTCCTCTCCTTCATTAACTTTCTGCCTTTTTTAATTTCCTTGTTGTGTACTGTCAAATTGGAGCTAACTGGAACAGGAGGTGATTGCCCCTCCTCCAGCAGAGCATCTGGTGGTTTCAAAACGTGCACCTTCAGTATTGCAGCAAAGCTTCTTGCCACTAGGCCACCAGAGCTCCCTTGACATTCTACTTTTTAAAGCATTGTGTCTTCCCCCCTCCTTATAACATACCCAAAAGTATGTGAGATGAAGTCTCACCATCCTTGCCTTTAAGGACTACTTCTTCTGAGACCGACTGGGTTTTTTGGCAGTCCATAACATATTCAATACTCTTTACCAGCACCACAATTCAAAAGCATCAATGATTATTCTATCTTCATCATTCACTGTCCAACTTTCACATATATGATATTGTTGTATACCGTTGCATCAGAACTGACTCAAAGCTGACTCTCCAGCAGGTTTTGAGGCAATAAACTGCACGGGAGGAATGTGCCCATATTTTTCCTGCAAAGCTGCTGGTGGATTGAAAACACATTCCTTTGAGTTGACAACACAGCCCCTTACCACTAGGCCACCAGGGGTTGTTATGTGTCACTGAGTCTACTACAACTCATAGTGACCCTATGAGCAATAGCTCTGAACTCCGCTCTATCCTGAGTCAATCTCACCTTGGGGACAAACCAGCCCTCACTGCTACAGTCACTGTGTCAATCCATCTCATCCAAGGTCTTCTTCTGAGCTGACCCTCTACCCTTCCAAGCATCATGATCTTCTTCAAAGATCAGGAACATGACAATGACGAAAGATTGTGAGACAATATCAAAACTCTGGCAACATGCTCAAAGTATGTGAGACAGTTTCAAAATCCTTGCCTCCAAGGAACAGCCTGTTTCACCCTCTTTAAGACAGATGTATTTGTTCTCTTGGCAGTCCATGGTATATTCAATACTTTTATCCAGTACAATTCAAAGGCATTAATTCTTCTGTCATTTTAGCCATTGTACACCTTTCAGATGCTTTGCACGCAACTGAGATCAGTCCAAAACAGGCACACCTTAGTCTCTAGAGTAATATCATTGCTCTTTAGCACTCTAGAGATGTCTCTGACAGCTGACTTTCCTAAAACAACATATCTTTTGATTTCTTGACTACTGATTATTGTGATCTGGGCAAGATGAAATTGGCCACCAAAAGCCCTACTTTCATTTGTTGTATATGTATGTATATATACAGCAATTGAAAATACCATGGCAAAAAAAAAATTTTTAAAAAAAAAAGAAAATAACCATGGCTTGGAAGAGTTCTGGTGGCATAGTCTATAGGGAGTTACACTGCTAACCCATAACATAATAGTTTGGGTCAGGCACACCTTATCTTCATCTTTATCTCCTTGCTCTTTAGAACTTTAAAGAGATCCCTGACAGCAGATTTGCCCAAATGCAATGGATCATTTGATTTCTTGACTGCTACTTCCATGGGTATTGATTATAGATCCAAGTAAAATCATATCACTGAGAAAATCAATCTTTTCTCCATTTATCATGTTGTTTATTGGTCCAATTATGTGGATTTTTTTTAAATCCTCTCAGGATTTGATTTGGATGTAAGCCACTGATTCCTAGGTAACTCCGCAATGTACTTTATCGGCATTATCCAGTCAGCAGCTACACGCCACACGTGGCTCTCAAGTACTTGAAACATGGATAGCAACTAAGGAACGGAATTTTTTTTTTTTACATTTTCACTTTGAACAGCTACATGTCACTAAGGACTACCATACTGGACTGCAGAGTTCTAGATGATCACACATCATCTCAATTTGACTTGAGAATCTCTGATAACAATGTTTTGTAGCAGCTGAAGCCTCCATTCCCTTTGGCTTAAAAGAAGACATGGGAGCTCTGGTGGCCTAGTGGCAAGAAGCTGCTCTGAAATCCCGGAGGTACACTGTTCAAATCCACCAGATGCCCTGCTGGAGAAGGAGGGGCAATCTCCTCCTGTACCAGTCAGATCCGATTTGACGGTACACATGCAAAAAATAATAAATTTTTGTTTTTTTTAAAAAAAGGAGGAGACATGACCGTCCTTTCCCTGAGGACATTCTCTGTACTGAAGAAGCTGCCCTGGGATGCACCGGGGAACAGGAACCCTTGTCGTGGGAATAAGTCCACTGGCTCACTTGGCAGAGCAGCCCCCACCTTTCATCCCGGAGAAAAAGCACCCTCCAGTACCCCATTTTGTTCAAGGTTGACAATCTCTGGGGAGACAGAAAGCAATGATTTGGCTTTAGTTACTCTGGAGAAAATATAAGCCCAAGGCCTTTAATCTCAGCTAGAGGCACCCCAAGAATAGAGGGCAAAAGCCCTACCAGCAGCAAACTCAGCAGAGTGTCTGAAATACCCAGGATTTCAAGTCAGCATCCTGGCCCTCTCCATTAGAGTGACTTTAACCACTAACTCCACCTGTTATTTTACAACTCTCACCAAACTCTAGGCTTTCACCCAGTTCCTATCATCACCCAGGTACTCCCTTCCCATTCTTGACCCTATTGCTCTTATTATCTCTTATCTGCCTAGCTCCTTAACCTCCACCTGTGGGTTTCTATTGTTGGGTAGTTCACTTATGTGTTCTGTCTGACTTGTCCCACAGAACTATAATTCTAAAAAAATTAGCCAACCATTCAAAATTTTTCACAAGCTGACCCAATTTACCTTTCTAGCTTTCTCTCACAAATTGGCCATATTAATCAATTTGCCATTCCTCAAAAGCAATGATACTCTTCTCTTAAGCTCTTTAAAATGTCTCCAGTTTCTAAGGCCATCTGAATGCCACCTCCTCCAGAGAGCCTTCCCTGGTAGCCTTCAGCTAAATGTATAAGTAAACAACAGCTTTTCTTTGCAATTACCTCACAGTGGTTAATCCAGAGCTTGGCAAACAGGTCACTCACTCTTATCACTACAGCTCTGAAAGCAGAGAGCAAAAGGAAACTCAAATAGACAAGGAATACAGAGGAGATTGGTACTAAAAATCTTATATTGAAAGCTGAAGATTTCAAGAGAAAGACCATCAGTCAGATCACTGGGGTGGCCTCCAAACCTGCTCTACTTCCAACTTGATTCACTTCTGTCCTTGCCAAAGGGGTACCCTGACCAGCCATACTGCAGACAAGGGGACACTGGCAGGTATAGTAAGTTTGTGATAAACTGGGCAGACCTCTAATATTTTCCACACTCTGTAAGGTAACTAAAGATTAACTTATACACATACACCCTGCCCAAGAGAATTCTTGGCAAACAAATGAAGAGACAACAGAGGGGACTATCTGAACAATCACCTCCTACCCAAGACAAGCAAGAGGTAAAAGAAGTACAAAGACAAAAATGTTTAGGAGCTTTTAATGCTTAGATTGAAAACTCAGCTGGATTCTTCATTAAGTCCTTGGTCCATCTCTGTCAGGGCAACAATTAGCCGCTTACCCAGGCCATAGGCAGAGGTCCAGATACCGTCACAGGAAAGTTTTTAGAAACAGACGACTTCTTATGTAGTGCAGTGAAATACCTCTCCCACACAGAAGTGATAAAGGAATGAAAAGAGTATGTAACTAGCACCCACGTTCAAGGCACTGTGCAAAGTACTTCCAAACGTTATCTCCAGTGAATCTACACACCAAACCCCATGGAGCAGGGATCTCCATTTCATAGATGAAGATCAGAACCAGGAGGAAAATTCTGGCCTGCTTACTCAAAGTCCAAAGTGCCTTGATCTCCATGTCTGTAGATCAGAGCTAGGAGAAAAATTCTGGCTTGCTGACTGTAAGTCCAAAGTGCCTTTTCTACTTTGCTACATGGATTTCTCCCCCTGATCCAGCATTGGTCTCCCATAAGAAATCTGCTCTTAACATTTATGCCCCATGCTTTGTCCTGGTTCCAGTAAGATAAGGGGTCAGCTAAACGCAGGTGTTCTATGAGGATGAGTAGAGAACCTAGCAGGATCTTTTCTCTAAACATACGACCTAAGAAGCCACTCTTGGCTGAATAGAGGCTTCCAGGAAAACAGTGAGGTAGAACAGTTTGTAGATGCAGCTAAGGACACCTTCTGCTGATTCCCTGTGGAGTTAAGTGTTATAAGATAAAAGGGATAGGATCAAAGGAAGGTGAAGAAAGCAAGGTTCAGGCGGCCAGCAGCAGCAGGGTTACCACTGCCAAGAGAGGCTGAAGACGGTTCAACAGATCAATGAACATGTTTCCCAGCAACCAGCGAGTCCAGGAAGACTTTGCAGCTCAAGGCCAGTTGTGCAGTCATCTGCTTGCTGAGAATGACTTGGCAGCCTTGAATGTGCCCTCTGCTCAGGCCTCAGGGCATGTGTTCTGTCAGCAGCGGCAGCAGTCCCAACTCATTCAGCCTCTCCTTGGCCACTGCCTCCCAGCCCTTGTTGGCCTGCGGGCTGCGAGGTGAAGGGTGCAGAAGACCCTCCACCTGGACCTCTGGCATCAAGCCTGCCAGAGCCCGCCGTGCCCGCTGCTCGGCCAGCCGCCCCACTCCCACCACCAGCCGCACACCTAGCAGCTGCACTTGCCGGCAGAGGGTTGTATCACAGATTCCAAGAAGCTGTTCTCGCTGCTTGGCAGGCAGATCGGCAGGGGTGAGGTTGCGTCCACTGGGAGCCAGGAAGAGCAGAGGGCACAGGTTGTGGACAAAACAGTGTCGAAAAAAGACCTCAGGCTGCCCGCAGAGGTTCCGGAAAAAGCCCCAGAATCGGGCACCGCTCACCTCTGACTGTGGGCACTCCAGTCCCAGCACCCGTCGTTTAGGGTGCTCTTGAGGAGGAGGTAGCACAAGGCCCCCAATGCCCAACCAGTCCCGGACCACATTCACTTCCCCAAAGGGCACCTGCGGGAAATGAGAAACATTAGGGTTTCAAAGCAGAGACTCGATACTTGAGCTCTGGACCAACTCACCCCCTTCTACCCTTTTCACTCCTCCTCAGGACCCAGCCTGGACACACCAACCCCCTACCAAAAGGTCTGAGACCAGAATTCTTGGTCCTGTGAATTCTACCCAACTTTCTCCTAATTTTCATTGCAGACACTGGTCCAGAAAACCATTTGCCACTGCTTCCATGAACAGTTTGGACCAACTAGTGCACAAAGTACACTGGCATAGAAAGTACACTAGGCTACCTGATCCTTGATAGGGCATGATGGGCAACACTGGGGATGAACAAGCAGCCCAAACAGAAAGGCAGCCAGGGTTAAAGGAGGCACAAGGGCAGCGCTGACCACTGCTCGCTGAAAGCCCTCCCAGCTGCGAGCCTCAGGCTGTCATTTCCATCGATCATCATTGATCATCTTTCATCACCCAGTTGGGGTCAATAAAAGCGATTGAGCTTCCTGCCCTGAAGCTTCTTCCCCGCCCCCCACCTGCCAAGCACCCCCACTGAGGGGCAGTCACTCATCCTGGTCTGAAAGGAAAGCAGACAGGCCCCTCGCCTGGCTCCATTCTGATCCTCCCCTTAGCTAAGAAGCAAGAATGCCCTTATCTCTCCCATGTGCACCGCTGTCAGTCCGGCTGCCCTGAGGACCCCGGAGTCCTGGTCCCTTTTTTACCCTAGTCACACTCTAAGGAGAAGGGAGATCTGGCAAGGTAAGATAAGGTATGTGGATGAGGCTGGGGCTGGCGGAAGGAAGGGCTCTCAGAGGCAATTAGTGGACAGCTCACAGGGGAAATGGAACCACCATTAACATGCTTGGTTAACTACCGGCAGAGGCTGGGAGTGTGTCTTGAGACCACAGGAGCCATGCATAGTGGGAGGGGAAAGGAGTGCAGAGGAAGAAAACCGACAGACAGCCACAGCCATGCACACACTTCTCCACAGCACTCTCAGCCAAACAAACACCCCCCCTTTGGGAGCCTCTTATTCCCCCTGCCAAGGAAAGTGAGAGCCTTTACCCCAGTCTGGGCCATGCCAAAGGGTCCTGGATTCATGCCCAGGAAGAGCACTTCCTTTGGGCCTTGGCAGTAGCGGGTCACATAGCTGCGGTGCGGCTCCCAAGCATACTCCACAGGATTATAGATGACACCCACAGGCTCTGAGAACTGCAGCTGGCTCAGCTCAGCATTCAGTCGGAGCTCCTCCTCCAGGAAGCCCTCAGCCAGGGTCTGAGAGCAGGACTGGGGCTCCACCAGGGCCTCTGCAGGCTCACTGAGGGGCACCAGCGGGAGAGCCTGGGGCATGGCCATGCCACTGACACCTGCAAGAGAGATGAACGAGGTCCCAACATCCTTCTGCCCCAGAGCTGGAGGAACTGAGGTCACCCTGGGGCTCTACCACCATTTTCTGGCCTAAAAGACCATGGCAGTCATCCTTACACCTCTAAGGAGAGCTGAGCTTACGTCACTTCTTCCATTAATAAAGAACCCTTCCTTTTCTACTTAGAGTATGTATGTTTTAGTAAGATTTTTAGATAATTTTTAGGTATTTTGGGATCCCCAGGTAAAAGAGATTCTAATTTAGTATTATTTAGAGTGGAAAGGCAAATTCTCAGCAAGGACCTGAACTAGAATGAACCAGCTCAAATCCCTGTTTTTAACCACCTACACTACCTTGCTTTCATTGGTTAAATCAGCCACTAATTCTACAAATTATATTCCCCCAATCCCAAGCTGTCTCCTCCAGCCCATTCATCATCAGTAATGGGTAGGAAGACTACTGGATTCAGAACACATTCTTACAAGTCATGTGACCACGGCCAAGGCACTTTACCTCTCTGAACCCTAAGTTTCCTCACCTGAATACTAAGAATAACCACTCCATAATGTTGGCATAAAAACAAGGGGAGGAGTTCTGTTAGTGAAGGGAAAGGACAAAATATGCAAATCAGTTCTGTAAGGTGTAAAGGTCGTTCTCCCATACAAACCAGTGCTCCACCCTGACTATCCACTCAATTTCAAAATGCCTTTCTCATCCCAACTCCTAAAACTCGGCAAATGCATTTCTACACACCCAACCAAATACACTCCTCTCATCCAGGCATACAGGAGGGATGAGACTCCTCCAACCCTTCACATATCCTAGTCATATCCATCCTCCAACATGTAACTCGAATCATCTCCTGGGTGAAGCCTTCCCTCAGAACAAGACATAGCTTCCCTGACGCCCCATACATATACATACAACTACTGTAGGGCCTGGAAATATGTATTATAAATAAAATTCCAATGGATGATTCTGATGGTCTCTGAAGACTGAAAAATCACTCCATGTCACCATAGTTAATGAACTCATACCCAATTAGACTTGGGAAGAACATTCTCGGAATCCAAGAGTACTTCCTTCAGTACGTCCAAATTCCTAGTTCTACTCAACAAATAACCACTCAATTCCATCATTCCTTCTTTTCCAATTCTGTTAAAAACTACTTCCTACCAAGGAATTTTTCTGTTGGACTTCACATCTACTCTGAGTCCACTCAAATCTCAGCTGCTCATTTTTAATCTGCTTGCTGCTTACAGACAGGCTTTGTCTCTGGGTCTGATTGCACTGGATCTGGGGAAGGTTATGGTTTCTTCCTCTCTCTCATACCCCTTCCTAGGCCGAGAGTGATGTTTTTCTCCAGATATTACAGTTAGCAAGCTGTTCTGTGACCTTAACATCAGAGATGTAAAAGAGGAAAGAACGTATAGACAAACTTGGGAAAAGAGGAAAGAACATATAGACAAACTTGGGAAATCCTTTCCCAGCTCTCAGAAGTTCATAGATTAAGGAAGCTGATGAGAGCCTGCTGGACTTACACAAAAACTGAGAAAAGGTCTGTAAAGAATTGAAACACCTCAGGTGAGCGCATTTTGCATCTCATCAACCAATGCCGATTTTAATGGATGAGTTGCTTCAGCTCTGCTATCTTGTTCAAATCTCAAGTTGGGACCGCCTCTTTAAAGACATGTATTGCAGACAGAAAGGCTAGGAATTCACAAGAGTGGCAGAGCCTTATTTTAAATGTTCCAGTGTTCTGAGGCCTGACCTGATAACATGAACCACAGACTCAAAGTCAACTGAATCAAACTGTAGTCTTGACGTCATCTCTTAATAGGCAACTTCTCTTGAGCAAGTCACTTCTCCTTTCCACAAAACCCGACCTATCACCAGATGATCTTTTTCTTCATTATTTGAGTTTCTTAGTTACCATGCATCATGGTAATCTTCTAGTAAGAAAGAAATCTAAAATGAATAAAAATATAGACAGGTTTTCAGTAAGCTCATAAAGTCTGACAGGACAACAAGTAACTGTAATAGTGTGATTTAAGTTATAAAAGCTTTACACAAAATCCTATAGGAGTCCAAAGGATATATCTTGGATATATCTTTCTAGGTAGCTGCTGAGAGTCTGCTGCAGATAAAAGTCCAAAGGAAGAACGTGAAAATTCTATCTAAAATCTGAAAGTTAAGGCTTAAGAAATGGAGGTACCTTATAAGTTATCACATTAAAACAAGTACAAAGGAGGAGGTGATTGATTTCCATCTATTGGCAAAAAAATTCTCATAACTCTGAGTGCTTAACAGACTCGTATCAGCTAAAAATGAAGTACAGAAATATATACCCTTAAAGTACTAAAAGGGGCCCGGCGGGATAGTCACATGGGGGCTTGTGAAAATGGCATATCAGAACTGGAAAACCAACTGGCTTTCCCCTGCAGCGTTAGATGGAAGTTGCCTGAGGCAGTGAGGTGATTTCAGGACAGTCTTGAAAGCGGGAGAAAGGACAAAACCTTCTGTGCAAGTGGTAGAGAACATGCAGGTCATGTTGCATGACAGACAAAACAGAAGCTGCAGAGACGTTTGCAAGGCAAAGGTTAAACACTGGTAGAGAGCGTGCGATAAGCCTGGCTACCTAGGTTTTTCAACAACAAATCCAAGAAGTGCAGCAGGAAGAGAAGGCACTGCATTCACTCCTCTGTTCCCTGGAGCATTCCAAGGATCCTCAGAGATCCAGTAATCGCTTCACTACTACTAAGGTAGTAAGACCACGGACTTAAAAAGACCATGTCATCCTGCCTCTGGCTTCGAGAAGTCCGATCGCTAAGGTGTCAGCGGAGACTTCAGCGTCCACCCTCGGGCTCCGCCCGACGGGAAAGCTGTGTCCTCGCAAGTCTCCCGGACAGTTCTATGGGTTAACCTCTCTCTACGTAGGTCCAACCCCAGTTAGAGCAAGTGACTCCAAAACACAGACTTTTAGATTCTCCACCCGCCTCCATCTGAGAGGACCTGCAAGTTGCCGGCCCATCGATAACAGCCCCGGTCGCCCACTGCAACTTCTCACCTGCTCGGGCGCCCTATCGGCTTCCGTTTCCTTCCCCCGGGCGCGCAGGGGACAGTGGGAATCGTAGTCCACGTTGTCCAGGGAAGCAGATTGGCGTAGCGCGGGCACTTCCGTCGGAAATATTAAAATCCCCGGAAGAGACACTAAATTACCACGAAGTGACTCTGGGGGTTGTAGTGTATTCTTTACATCGGGACTAGCAAATGAAGATCTTGAATACTTTGGATTCTAGCCCCACAGAGCATCATTCTTAGGAAAATTCATTCACACAACTCTTCCCAAAGGGATTCTGAATCCAAAAGCTCCGACTATCCCCATTTCCTCATCAATTTGAGAGGAGTTAGTAATGGCTTAAGACCATTTCTTGCCCTCCTATTACCAAGGTTTATAGGAGAGCCATGGAGATCCAGGCATCTCCCAGAAACTCAGTTATCAGACTTCCACTCTGTTACAATCCATGTCCTATCTTCATGTCCTTGACTTTTCTTTCCCTTTCCCCTTACTGTCTGCCTCGCTCAATAATTTCTCATTTGCCCAAATCTTTTCCACCATATATTCTATTCAGGAAGCATTTTCTGACCAATTGTAACTCTATGGCTTCACCTAATAGTATTACCCTCAACTCCTCATCCTCACACCAGTATTATCCTACTAATTCTATCCTTTTCTTATATCAGTGTCTGCATTAATATCCTGACTGTAAGACTTCATTATTGTAGCTGATGTTAGATGGATCTTAGCTGAAAGCAGAAAATACCTGAAGAATGTCTTTGTTTCATTGATTATGCAAAGACGTTTGACTGTGTGGATCACAACAAACTGTGGATGAAGAAAGGGAATCCCAGAATACCCGATGATGCTAATGCAAAACCTATATTGGACCAGGAGGCAGTCATCAGAACAGAGCAAGGAAACACTGCATGGTTCAAAATTGGGAAGGGCGTACACCAGGGGTGTGTCCTATCTCCATATATTTTCAACCTGTATGCAGAACAGATTATCCGAGAGGCTGGGCTCTATGAAGAGAGGTGTGGCATCAGGATTGGTTGAAGATCTATCAACAATCTGCGTTATATAGATGACACAACCCTGCTTGCTGAAACTGAGGAGGACCTGAAGTGCTTGCTGCAGAGGGTCAAGGACTGCAGCCTCCAATATGGATTGAGGCTCAATGTCAAGAAGACAAAGATTCTCACCAGTGGACCAATTGATAACATCAGGATGGATGGTGAAGAGATTGAGATTGTTAAACTTCAGTCTGCTTGGCTCCACAGACAATACTCTTGGCACCAGCAGCCAGGAAATGAAAAAACATAATTGCCATACAAAAGTCTGCTGTTAGGGACCTCTCCAAAGTACTGAAGAGCAATGGTGTCACTCTGGAGACTAAGGTGCATCTGATACAGGCCATGGTCTTTGCAATCACTTGTTATGCATCAGAGAGTTGGACAATGACTAGGGAGGATATAAGGATAATTGATGCCTTTGAGCTGTGGTGCTGGGGAAGAGTATTGAATGGACTGCCAAGAAAACAAACAGATTCATCCTGGAGAGGGTTAAACAGGGCTGCTCCTTGGAGACAAGGATTCTGAGGCTTCGTCTGACATACTTTGGACATGTTGTAAGGAGGGACCGGGCTTTGGAGAGGGACATCATGCTTGGGAGGGTGGAGGGATGGCGCAAGAGGGGAAGACCCTCTATGAGGTGGATTGATTCAGTGACTGGGGTAATCGGGATGGGTGTGTCAGAGGCAGTGTGATTGGCACAGGATAGAGCAGGGTTTAGGGCTTTTGTACATAGGGTCGCTATTAGTCGCAAGTGACTCGACAGCACATAACAGCAACAACAACAACAAGACTCTTTAGTTAGAAAATTCCTAAAGCAATCTCCTTGAAAGAGACCAGTGAACTCCAGAAAATATGAGACAG